AGTCGGATACATTTTGCATGTACTATTTATCCACCTTCCTTGTAGAATAAAAAAAACTTCCTGCCTTATCATGGTTTAATTAGAAATACAGTAGCATGTGAGATTGAGGCATTCAATCTCGGCTGAACACTCTGAAATGAAGAGTTAAATTTCGAAAGCCAATGAAATTAGAAAAACATCACTCTCTTATTATTTTTACTGTAGAACTACGTGATATAACTAGGTTGTTTATCCGTAGTTAGAGTAATAAACCTCAGAGTAGATTCTCCAATCATCCCAAACAGAGTTTGCTATCAAATATACTTGATCCCATGTAACTCAGATATATATTTCCTTAAATATGTCTTCGTTGTGCCCAGAGAAGTTAATTAGTAGGTTCGGTATAGTGTTGGTAGGTTTAGATCCTATACTTGTAATCCCAAATATATATCGTGCGCACAACGATTTTCTAATGAAAGAACTCTGAGTGGGTATTGGACGCTCCCGAAGAAGAATTTGTTCATTTGTCGCTTTCGCTTTTACTTTTAGTGTTAAAACACGTTTTGCCATTCTACATTTGTACTCCCCCACAAATTTGCGATTGAAACTAGAAACGATTATCCCTGACTCCTTAGTTTCTTTATAAATATCTGTTAATCATTTGCGAACTGATGATTGAGTGTTTATATTCATTGGATTCGTTAGTTGTTAAAACAAACTCCATACAAATTCAAATTAGAGTGTTTATGATTTAATTAATTATAACTTCTTATATTAGAATATACGTGTAAAGTATTCCGGCTAGCCCTAGGTGGTTATCAATCAATTTTTCAATTTTTTTTACTCAACAGTTAACGCTCAACTATTATTTTCCTCGAAATTTCAATAATTGCTTCGAATAGGGTTGCACAATCGGTCGTAACTGAACCTATCAAATTTTCGGTTAAATTAAAATTAAGTTTATCCATTATAAGAACCGAAATTTATGATTTGATTTGAATTTTAACCGAAAATTCCGCGATCAGTTCGTTTCAATTATCGTTAATAGCAATAAATAATCAGTGAATTTTTTTTTTAACCATTTAGATTTGTATAACACAAATTTTAGCCACATTTTTAAAAAAACCTCTTTTTTAGCCATTTTGGCACTTAAAATGTCAAAAATACCCTTACTATATTTTTTTTTTAAAAAATAATCTCTCTCTTCACTAATCTCTCTTCTCTTTCATTCTCTTTTCATTCATCATTTCATCTTCACTCATCTAAAAAACCATTCTCTTAACAAAAAAAAAAAAATTATTCTCTTAATAAAAAAATCATTCCGGCAACATTTCGGTGATATCTCGGAAATAATAGTTTAAAGGTATTGTTATAATTTATCTTCTTTTTAATGGGCCATATATATACTATTTAAATTAATAAAATGAATATGGAAAAAAAAAATTGTAGAAAAGATTTCTTGGAAACT